AAAGCATGAGACTAAGTAAAAAACATATCGTCTAGAACAAGTATCAGAATGAAATCTGAATTTATCTTTACCTATCTACCTATATGGGTGTATAAATGTATATGTATTAAAAGCTTTATAGCCCCAAATTAAAAGCAAAGTATCAGTATGAGCTCTAAATTCATTTTACCTTTATATATGTGTATATAATTTTTAACCCCCAGCTCTGACGACTGAAAAGGGTTAGTGACAGTAACATACTTAACGGTAATGTGTACCTCTAGTTCCCAGATTGTAGTGTCTAAATACCTCTGCGTAGTAAATAAACCAGAGTTCCTTAGAGAAATGGTCAATTCCAGGTCTAGAAGAGACAGTGTTTAAGATTAACCTAGAACACCTTCTCATACCAGAAGCAACAAAACTATCACAAACCACTAGGGTCCTGTCAAAAGCACTTAGGAGCCAACCTGTAGTCTCCTGGCCAAAGATGGAACAACTTCAACATTAAAAACTGAGAAGAATGGATTTGTACCCACAGAATATTTATATATGAGTTTTATGACTGCATAACAGCAATCAAGCCATATCAAAATATGAACCTTATCTGGATCCTTATTTTTAAAAGGTAAATTTACAAGAAATTAGACAAATGTCAACCCTAACTGGATATTTGTTATTTAGGAATATAATTTTTAGGTGTGATAATAGCATTGTATTTTTTTAAGGCTCTATCATTGAGTAACACATACTAAAATGTTTACAGATGAGATGATACAACGACTATGAACAGCTTCAAAATAAGGAGTGGGGGAGTTGTAGTGAGTGAAATATAGACAAAATAAGATTGGCCCTAAGTGGATAATTGCTGAAGCTCAATGATGTGCATATGGGAATACATTTTACAATTCTAATTTCTGTACTATAAAATGTACATAAAAATTGAGTTTTAAAGCTGAAATATTTTACTCAGAGGCTTGCCTCTAGTCCTTTGACTATCTATTCTTACAAATATTCATTCAAAGCTTACAGTAAATTAAGAAAAACAGGCATATATACAACAGAAAGCAAAAAGGCTAAAGATCTAACAAAGGAGGAAAACACTATGAAAAGTGTGAATTCCACATCTTACATGGAAAATGTTCTGATGTTCTGGAAACATTTAATTTTGGAAAGATGTTGGGTGAAACAAAATTAAGCTGGTATGTTTACCTCCGGACTTAGTCCATTTACACTATAATTCTAAATGGAATACACAAATGCAGTCTTTCACAAACTTATCTGACAAGAGAATCCTTTGTTAGGAGATCTCTTGCAGAAAGAGTGTTCTGCAAACACTATGGAGAAAACTGACTTGAGATATGGATAATTACCAAAGAGTTTAAGCTGCAATCCTATGGTTCCTTACATTTTTAGTAGCAATAATAAAACTAATATATAAAAGGCTAAAAAAGCAAGTTTATTAATATTTGTAATGTTACAGAATGTTTAGGCAGGAGTTATGAACACAAATATATATAATTATATATAACCACAAATTTTAAAAAGCATGCAAAATCTAATTTTTAGAAGTTACAAAGGAAGATTTCCAGTTCTATAACTCTTGAGTTCAATGTACACGGCCGCTTTCCCACAACCTTCAGACCTCAAGCTACTAATTCTGGTAGCACAGTGTCCATTACATAGCAATACTTAATAACTATTAAGTATCAGTAAAAACACACATAAAATCTATGCTATGCACATAATTTGACTTCATTTGATTGAATCCATTTAGTAAAGCATGATTCTCTTTCCCTCTATTTCTTTGCTCTCTAAGACACACAGTAACATGATCTCAGCTCACTGCATCCTTTGCCTCCTGGGCTCAGGTGATCCTCCCATCTCAGCCTCTCGAATAGCTGGGACTGCATGTGCTCATCAACACATCTGGCTAATTTTTTGGTAGAGAGGGAGTTTCTCCATGTTGCCCAGGCTGGTCTAGAACTCCCACCTGCCTTGGTCTTCCAAAGGGGTGGGATTACAGGCATGAGCCACTGTGCCTGGTCCCTCTTACCTTTTGATATAAAAAATTGTACCTGAGTTTGGGACTGTAGGTTTCATTTTCTGGTCTGATTGTTCAAACAGCAACTTAATTATTCCTATTCTGAACAGGATCTTGGACTCCTCCAAAGGTACAATAACAATTCAGTGTAGAAAAGATAATATTCTAATCAGTCATGGGAAGAGACTACTTCTTTACTCCTGTCTGAGTACTTACCCAACTTTAGACTTTAACATGATGACAGACGGGGAAAAAAAAAAAAAAAAAAAAAAAAGAAAGAAAGTAACAGGAACCATCTTCTAACAAGACAAGTCAAACCATAAACCATCTTAACCTAAAGCTAAGTGTTCTGCTTATATTTCCATTCTTTAAAATGCTTTAGTATTTTTCCTGAGGAAAACTTCTTACTTTTCACTTATATATGAATGTCTCAATTACCTCATTATTCCTATACTTTCACCTTGAAATACTATGCATTTATTGATTATAGAAAATAAATTCATTCACTCATCTAGGACAATGGTTCAGAGAATAAGAACAATGTAGTATTTGAAAATAAACATTGGCAAAGGCTGACAATTTTCTTTTCTTGGGAAGGCCTATTCTTTATTGTGAGTGTATGTTCTCCTACATTTTCAGTGTTAAAATTTCCTTTATTTTATGTAACAATGGTTGACAGTATATGACAATCTTTTTGTATTTTTAAAGTATTCTTTCCTGGCAAAATAAAAAAATTGATAGCTCTATGACAAACACACAAATTTTTAAATTCCTAAACATTACTATTCCCTGAAATTCAAAAGTTTGAAGACCACTAATTGTCTTGTTCTTTTTAACTTTACAAAATTTTAAGAAACTTTCTGGCTTAAGGACACGTTTATGGTTTAACAACTTTTATAACTAAAAATCCAAATACTTATCATAGCAGTGGTAGTTACTCTTTCTAGCCTATTAAGTAAATCCAACTAAAGGTATTTACCCTAAATAGGTAGCTCTCATTAGACCTAGCTTGACCTTATTCTGTCACTTATTCAACCTTCACGTAATTCAGTGTTAAAGTCTTTCTTACATATTAATGCCTGGTATTTCTAATTGCTATTCATTCCAAAAAATGCATCATCTAAGGTACAAAAAGCAAGACGAAAGAAAGAAGGTTATGTGTCAACAGGTCTTTCCATGTGCAAAATTTCCAAAGATTTAAAAAGCAAGAGGTTTTAATTTTTTCTCAGCCATATAAACAAGCAAGGGAAGTAGTACATATTTAAAGTTCTTACTAAATCCATAAATTTGGTAATATTTTAACCATTTGTATAGTAAGAACTACCATTGTTTTATAATACCGCTATTTCCTAGAAAATAAATAGAACATAAAACTACCTATCTAGCAATAGACTAAAAACTGTCAACTGAAGCCACCACTGAAAGGAAGCTTATTCTAAACTTCCACTTAAAAATACCCTGGAAAGAACATTTAATCAAAGATCTACTCTTTTAAATATAACATATGAACATACAAGTTTATAAGAAAGTTTTTAAATCTCATAAATTTTAAATTACTTTTTACTTTCACAAAAGATTGTTAAAGAAATTATTATTCAAAACCAGCTTTAAAAAGAAAATATCCCATATCAAGAATTCCTATTTTATAAAATAATGTGCTACTTCCTACCTCCAACCCCCAAACTAGATTATTTCAAGGGTCCAGTTGAATAACTTATCGGACCCACAGTCTTATACTGGTTACAATGCCCCAAGGGCGACTTCTACCAGGTAAGCAATAATGTATCACTGTCCTGGCTGAGAATATTCACTACAAAGGGGAAAAATAAATTTAGAGGTTTTTTTTCAAAATTTAAGTTGCAATCACTGAAAAGCATCTCACTCTTTTGTTGCTTTCATTTGGAAAACTATTTCATCCTCAGAACAATGGCAAGGACAAAACAGTTACATTGTCTTCTCTGTAATTCCTAAGGAGAGAACACACAGGGCAAAAAACGCTCCTGGCCAGGCGTGGTGGCCGATGCCTGTAATCCTGGCACTTTGGCAGGCTAAGGCAGGTGGATAGTGAGGATAAGAGATGGAGACCATCCTGGCCAACATGGTGAAACCCCATCTTTACAAAAATTAGCCAGGTGTGATGGCACACACCTGCAGTCCCAGCTACTTGGGAGGCTGAGGCAGGAGAATTGCTTGAACCTGGGAGGCAGGGGCTGACATGAGCCAAGAGAGCATCACTGCACTCCTGCCTGGGTGACAAGGCGAGACTCCATCTCAAAAAAACAAACAAAAAAAGAGGCTCCGATCTCCTATGAATCCCCCATACCTCACTCCCATTTTCCTTTTTTTAATCTTTGAAACCCAAATGAAAGACACGGTTCATATATTCCAGTCAATCCTTAGAAAGACAATTCAATTCAAGATTGATGGGTCCAGATAACTTTACTAAGAGTACCCTCAAAGCTAGAGGTATATATATGTCTTGGGCAAAAAGTCAGAGAAGTCTAGATGGGGATATGCTGAACTTAGGGACACTTTTTTTAGAGTTCAACCTGATGAGACCAAGAAGCAGTAGATGAGGAATTATTAAGATGGCAGACATCAGAACTGCTTGTACCTTATCCCTCATCACTCATTCTGACAAAGCAGATCCTGTTCTGGGTCAGTGGAAAAAAAAAAAAAAAAGAATAATGGGTAGTGGGGTGGCCCTATCTACTACCTAAAAGAAAGAAAAAGAGAATCACTGATATCTCACGACAACACAATTTGACATTCCACCTGGTGACTATGCATTTTAATTATATTACGTTATACACAGGATTGCCTAATGGCATTAGGACGTTCTTTGAGGGCATGAATTCCACTTCAGGTGTTCTACCTATTGTCAAAGTATATTATTAAGTTAAAAAATTTGTATTAAAACTTAAAAGTAATACTTATAAATCATTTAAATCTCAATTCATAAATTATTTTTAAAACTTACTGCTTCAGCTTCTGCTCTTGTCTTGAATGTAATTACTGCATGAAGTGAAGAATCATCAATCTGACAATCTTCAATTTCACCATATTGCTTTAAATTAAAAAAAAAGTATTTCCTCCAAATAAATATTTTGAAATATCCAAAAATCCTAATGGTATTAAAAAACATTAAAATACTAATAAATATAACCCAGAATACATAACAATTCATAATGGTTAACAGAAAAGTATGGTGAGTAATTTATTTTAGTACTTGATATTGTAAGATAGAAGGTGGCCCTATCTTCCAACCTTATTTACAATTCACACTTCAAAGAATTAGAAAAACTTATACTCGACTGAACCATTTTTGCTTTAAATGAAGGAAATAATGGTCAAAGCCTGAGCTTCCTTGCCAACTAACCTTCCTCTTATACTTATTAAACCAATCCCAAGATAAACTCTTTCTTAAGCAACATATTGAATCCTCAAAATTTTGGTATCATTCCCAATAAATGGGGAAAGAAAGAAATAGAAAATTTAAGTAACTTCCCCAAAGTAATTGTTATTTACTGGGATGAGATTCTAGGCCTGTTGATTCAAAAGTTTAACATTCTAACTGACCATGCTTTTGCTTACTACATAACTCCACTATACTTTATACTTGTTTAGAACAGTTAAAAGCTAAACATATTATATTATTCCTGTTTTTGGTCTGTTGAATTTTATCCCTCATGTGTGGAAGGATTTTTCTACAAACAGCAACCTTTATCATACAAAATTCTAGTCCTTTATATATTACCAATACCTTCCCTCTTATACCCACCAAAAAATGTAACTGTAATTTCATTAGATTCACACATACCACAGAAATGTTCTGAAGAGCACAGTAAAGAGAATGTCCTAGAGCCACCAAGATTCTAGCTTTACAAGTTATTAGCTGTGTAAAAAAGTTACTTAACCTCATCATGCATCATTTTCTTCCTCTCTAAAATGTGCATAATAAAGGTACCTACCTCACAGGGTTATCCAAATAACTCATAATGAATTATTATAAGGCACTCAGAAGGCATACCTGCCACAAAATAAGTGCTCTATAGGTTTTTAGCTATAATTTTTATTACTATTACTACTGGTACTGAAGATACAGAGACAGCATTTTGTTAATCACAATTTGTTATAGTTAATGGTCCCTCAATATTATAGACATTAAATAATATAAATATTTTCTTTTGACATCCATCATGTGTTCAAATTATAGGTTGAGAGAGAGAAGCTAAACTTCAATTAAACCTGCGCTCTTACTTAAGACTAGTAATTTAAATGTGAATAACCACTGTTAACTTTGGAGTGAAATTTGAATGTCCAAATGTATGTCAGAATTTTCATTTAGAGGCTCTGAATATTTATCAAGCCAAAAGCACCTTAGTCTCACCAAAACATAATCACAGCAAACTCACCTTGCCTGTTTGGATTATTTTAGCACATTCATTGTTAATTTCTTGATTAGCTATAAAACTATACACAACATACAAGTTATCTGGATCTCCTTTCTCTTGTGAAAGGTGTGGAAGTAGGGTACACAGCAGGGAAGAGTTGGGCAAGATTATCTCCAAGCTCCTTTCTAGTTCTCTAATTCCTTTCTTTATCCCTTTAAATCATCAAGAATAGGACTTTAGACTCCTCATTTTTAAATACTAACCATTTTAGTTATTTCTTAAGCATAAATCACTTCTGTCAATATCTCCATATGTCCTGACAAAATATCCATAACTGCTACAAGCCTACAATATGATTTTTAAACACCTAAGTCTGAATTTTCAAAAGGTTAAATCATTTATGTACCTACCTACTAGTTTACCTATTCTTTTAGATCTAAACTAGTTTACTGTTTCATGAAACTTTCCTCTATTTTTTTTTATATCATATGCCCACATGATACTTCTCTAAGTTATTATTTATAGTGCTTAATAAATTGTAATTTGATTATAAATAATGTCTGTACTTTACTTTGTGTTAAACTGATACATGTTAAAAGCCTTGAGAATAAAGAACTGATTATTTCCTTCATATCTCCACAGCAACCACTATTACATATAATGCTGAGGGTAAAACTGATGTTTAGTAACCAACCTTTGTGATACCACTAAGAATCACAGCATTTAAGACGAAAGGGCCATTCAGCAGGTACAATCTCCATTTTGAACATGAGCCTAATAAATCCCAGGCAGTCCATGTTAAATAATGGATTAACAGAGACTACAATCCTATTGTCCCTTCTAGTTAGGTCAATCTACTACCATTAGATAAGCTCTTTTTTATTATACCCTGACAATGACTGAGGCAACTTTAAGATCACAGGTCAAAATTTTATGTTGTTTCAATACTGGGTCAGCTAGATCAAGAATACATTTTTAACAAACACAAACCCTAATATTTAAAAATCTGCATGGCCCATGTAGTATGTTAACTTTTTCTTTAAATGTAAATATCAAATCAAACTAAACCACAAGACTTTCCTCTCTGAAACAATAAAGTTTATACTGTTCATCTCATAATGTTTCATGGCCTACTAGGTATAAGAAAAGTAATGCCTCTTCTAAATAATTACACAAATCCTACAGTTTCTGTTTTCAAATTAACAAAAAATTAAAGATTAGTCAAACCCTTTGTTCAGACTAACAGGTTGAAATTACTCATATTCTTTTCATAATTTCCTCTTTAATTATGTCTACTATCCCCAATGATTATCAGTATTTGTTTTGTTGAGCAGTAAGAAAGTACCGCAAAATGAGGAAGAAGATCTTCTCTATCACTCTCTGTAAATGCAGAAATCTCCAATGCCCTGGGACGGTGATCCACCACAGCATGACCAGGTACACCTCGCCCTCGCCCTCGCCCCCTGCCTCGGCCATGAACTGCACCTCGACCTCTTGAATGAATTCCTCTGCCCCGACCAGATGAAAGAATCCCTCGTTTGGCAGCCTAGAAGAGATCAGACACACAGGTTAAACAGTGCTGCAATTACTAACACAAGCCAAGTACTACACTCTGGCAGATGTATAAATGCAATTTGACTTTAATGCAATTTGACAATATATTCAAATGCCCTATAAAAGGATCACATAATTTAAATTGGGATTTTAGTTTGGTGAAAGCAAATTTAGGTGGCTAGTAAATTGAAACAAAAATATAACACTGAGGTTCTGGAATTACCAAATGTGCCTTTTTCTAAGTTCTTGCTCTCTAAGATATCAGGATATATCACAAAAAGATCAGCAACTCCTGATTTCCAAGTATATTTCCAACTCCTGATATTCCAGTGTTAAATGTTACTTCAGAAGTCAGGCTAATAAACAGATAAATAATATCTACATTCACAATAAATAATTTTTCCAGTTATGGTTTTCAAATATAATGTTTCTATTTGTTTGCCAGTTGACTTAACATGTAGTTAAATCATTTTAATTACTTATTACGAACATCATTATAGAACCAACGGATATTCTACCACATTATTCTGCATGATGATAGCACACCATTCCTTCATTCCACAAATACTTAATGGGCATGTTTCGTGTGCAAGTCTTTACCCTCATGAAACTTAAATCCTAAGAGTAAAGAGGCATCAAACAACTAAGTTATGGCTGTGCGCGATGGCTCATGCCTGCAAGCCCAACACTTCAGGAGGCTGAGGTGGGCAGATCACCTGAAGCCAGGAGTTCAAGACCAGCCTCACCAACATGGCAAAACCCCATCACTACTAAAAACACAAAAAATTATCTGGGCATGGTGGCGTATGTCTGTAGTCCCAGCTACTTGGGAGGCTGAGACAGGAGAATCACTTGAACCTGAGAGGCGGGGGTTGCAGTGAGCCAAGATCATGCCACTGTACTCCAGGATGGGTGGCAGAGCAAGACTCCATCTCAGAAAACACAATTAACAATAACAACAACAACAACGACGACAAAGTTATTTAATTATATTAATGAGAAGTGACTCAAAATGTGAATAAATGTTTTTAAGATTTGAAAAGAACTTTAAAGATTTGCAGTGAAAAACCCACTAGAATAAATGTTCCTTGAAGGTATTTTTTGTTTCCATTTTATTCTCTGTTTTATCCCCAGCAGAAGCTGGTGGATTGTATTTAATATTTATTCAATGAATCAAAGAAGGAACAAAGATAAACGCAAGAATCAGGTAGAGGTTACTGCATGAAAAAAGGCACCACGGCTGAAAGGAATGTAATTTCCTAAAGAATGAATACAATCCAGCCTAGCTGGATGGAGCGATAAACCTGGAAAGGCATAACTTTAAGGATCATGTTAAGGATTTTGAGTTTTATCCCAAGAGCCATGAAAACCAATTAAAAGATTTTAAGCATTAAAAGAGTGATATTAACCAAATTAGTGTTGAAAAGGATATTCTGGCTAGAGTTTTAAGAACAGAGAAGAAGAAAGAAAAGAAGCTGGGAAACCATTCAGTATGCCCCTACAGAAGACCTGAAGAAGGAAGTCCGAACTAGAGTGGTGGCAATGGAGATAGAAGTAAACGCATTTAAGATACATTTAGGAGTAACATATGTAAAATTTGGTAATTAATTAGATATAGATGCTAAAGGAAAGGGAGGAATCAATTAAGACTGCCAAATTTCTGGTTTGGGTAACTGTATAGATGTGGTATAGAAGCAAGATAAGCAAAATTTTGAAGATGTTAAGTCTCAGATGTGAGATATCCAAATGGAAGTGTCAAGCAGACACAACTGCCAAATCTCTCCTAGTGTCGGTATTTCAATTTCTTCATCTCAAGACAGTTAATCTTAACATTAGCTAAAATAATCATCTAATATCCAAATAATAATGCTAAGTGAAATAAGCCAGACAAAGAAAGACAAATACTGTATGATCACACTTACTACATGGAATCTAAAAGGATCAAATTTATATAAGCAGAGAGCAGAATAGTGGTTACCAGGGGCTGTGGAGGCATAAAGAATCAAAGATGTTGGTCAAAATGTACAATGTTTCAGTCAGATAGGAAGAGTAAGTTCTAGAGATCTACTGAACAGCACTGGTTGGTGAATACAATTAATAATAATTATTGTATACCTGAAAACTGCCAAGAGAGATTTTAAATGTTCAATTTTCATAAAAAAAATAAATAAATAAATCACAAGTATGTGGGGTGATGGATATGTTAGCTTGATGTAATTACTTCTCAACATAAACATATCATAACATTTTGTATTATTATATATAATTTTCCATTTGTCAATATAACAATACATAATAAATTTTAAAGGCCAAGGATTAATATTAGTAATAGAACATTATATACAAAAGTATGTTCTGAGGCATATTAATGCCTCAAAAATGCTCCTTGAAAAGGGGGGTCCATGGACAAATAAGTTTGAGTAACATTGAAAACTTAATATATATTTTTAAAGATTAAAAAATTAAAAGCCTCTAAGAAACCCCATGGTAAAAACGCATGTCCAATACAACCTGTTCAAAGGTTGTATTATTTAGCTTAAGAACGTTTTTTCACCAGTTTTCTATTAACACCTAATGATTTACTGTAGCGAATAAACACACTCTGGGAAGTATTACACTACTCCATAAAACTAATACTCACTGAAAACTAAACATAAGTTGTGATAAAGGAAAAACAGAAATTGCCATTCAGTGTTTAGCTATGTTATAATAAAAAAGCAAAACACAGAATAAAAACGAATTTTGGTAATGCTATTATTTATTTAAGTCATGTGTCAGAACTTTTTAAATGATATTTTGTTTTGAAGATTCCACCAACACTGGCATGAAATCACTACAATGGGAAAAACACAACTTATTAACATAAAAGATATCTTTTTCAAACTGTTTTTCCCCCAAAAAAAATACTGGGCAGGGCACACATGCAACCATATCAAGTTTCTAGAGAATGCAAAAGTATTCACGTTTAGGATAACATCCTATGGCTTCTTATGACTTTCAGAGAAGACAGAGCTTTAAGGGAAGTCTGGTAGCTACTAAATATTAAGTCTTTAATACCTGGATGACAGTATTTAAAATAGATTTCCATCGTGTCAAAAAAAAATGATCAGCTTGCCAGCAAATTCAGAAAAAAAGAATCTCAGATAAAGAAAAATAATCTAAAGTATAAAAATCTTCAATTCCTGTATCAAACCATGATATAGACATGTGGCAACTATTTTAATGATCAATGTCTATTTCAAAATGTAATTCCAATTTCTGAACATCATTTTGCTATTCAAAAATTCTCTCTCATGTCATATAACAGGAATCAATTTCACCATTGGTTCTTATATAAATAACCAACTAACTAAATTACAAAAAAGCAGTTTATTTCTCTCTTCTAAACATCCACAGCACCATCTATAGGCAAAAAAGTAAACATATTCTTCAAAATAGTTCTCAATATAGTTCTCCAACTAAAACTCTCATACTTACAGCAACTCAATTTATATGCAAAGAATATCTCCATAAGAATACATGAAAAGCCTTTATTATAAGTTTCCTATCCCAGGAAGGACAGACCAAAAATAGAAAAGAAATAAAATTCCTTAGAAATGGAAGAACTCAGGGATATTAGGTAGAATTACTGCCACTTCTCATCAAATAAGATTTTATCTAGTAGCTCTGAAAAATTTGTCATCCTCTTCCCTCTTTCCTATATTAACATCCCAATATGTACGCCAGGGATTGCCAACAATTTCTAATGAGAATGAAGGGAAGGGAATATATTTTTAAATTGACCACTACAACTACATTTGCTTCCTTTAAGACTACTGTGTAGTTGTGATGAAACATACTTCCAGCTGTAATTCTGTATACTTCCTCCTAAGTTCAGTGACTTCTTCTCCAGCCTGCATCTTCTTATATAAATCCAGTTCTGTGTCAAGTAGTTCCTTCTGCATCTAAAAAATAGTGATTAATATTTTAGATGACAGTAATTATTATCCTGCATTGATATAAAACTTTTTAAAGGAACTTTTACACATCACATTTAACCTATATATTTCTATCTCCAGTACAACCACTTTAGTCCAAGCCAAAATACTCCACACCTCTACAATACTGCAATAGCTTCTTAACTTGTTGCTACTTTCACTGATTTTCCTGTAATTCATTTTCCATACAGCAGCCAGAAGGAGATTTATATAGATTGATATGAGGTAATTTAAAGGAAATAACTGAAAGGGAAAGCAAAAAGCAAGCCCTAAACAACCAAGGTGCTAATGGGCAATACACAATATGTTTCTGTGCAGGAAACATACCTATCTACATACATATATCCATAAAAAGAAAAGACAGGATAAACCAGAACTAATGATACTAGTGACTTACAAGGGATGGGTGGGGACAGAGTGCCAGGAATCGAAGGGTAAGGGATCTTTTATGTTTTCCTTTTTACATAGTTTTGATTTTGAACCCTAAGAACTGTTTTTCTTTTTCAAAAAATAAAATACAATAAGCAAGAATTGGGGCCAGGGAGAGGGGATTGAAACTGAATACAAATGCAAATAGACTCAATATTATCTAACTAATAACAACTACACAAAATGGGGGAAAAAGTAATTTTAGACCACAGTTCTGACTTTACACGTTTAGTGGAATACAGCAAGGCTGTAAAGAATGTAAATAAATTTTGAATTTTATATTTAGTTAGTTGTTGTAAGTGGCATTGTTGTAGCAATTTTGGAACTATTTTGAATGTATTATAGTATTGTGTTAATAAATAATATATTAATATCAGTGGGATCAAGTTACCATTATCGGAATAGAGATAAAATATAAACTAAGAAAAGAATCATGTGGTGTTGAATTTGAATTTAAAACATCATGACTTTATACATATATACACAAATACAGACACACCAAGTATGAACATTGTATAACACCGTTTTTTTCTTAATCACTTATTACCATTTAAAACTATCATGCTTACTTATTTGTTTCTAATAGGTTGATCTATCTGATTTTTCCCCTTTTCAATCAATTCATTCTGTACAGTGTGGTAATGCTTTTCTGTTATTAACCCTCTATACCACCACAACTATTATGTAATATAAAACTTAAACCCTTGTCAAGCAATCAAGTGCCTATATCACCTTGTCTTCAAGATGTCTTTTCAAGATTACCCATGACTATTTTTCTAATTACTAACTTTCCAACTATAACTTCACAGAATTTAAAAGATTACTAGTAGAGTTTCCTTGTTTGTACTTATTTTTTTATATATGGCAGGGTGAGAATGGTACACACAATGGTCAGACTTTGAACAAAAGATATTACCTACAAGAAAAACTCAATCTTAAAAAGGCAGTGTTTAATGCTTTTTAATAAGTAATAATGTGAACAACAATACAAATTAAAATACCTGAGTCTTGGTTTTTATGCTTTTTGGAAGACAGCGTCCAGGAGAAGCAGCTTTGACCTCATCTTTTAACTTGGTAATATTTTTTGTCAAAACCTCTAAAGTTTTCATTATTTCTGCTTTGTCTTCAGACTTCATTGTTTTGTTTTTCTCCAGTTTTGAAATTAACATCTGCCAAATTTTTAAAAGGAGAAAAATAAAGCTAATTACTCCTACTACCATTCACAAAACAAATACTGCAAAGTAAGTTTAAAAATAAATATTACTCTTTTTTAGTTTATGCATTCGTGAGAAGGCTAACCACCACCAATTATCTAAAGACAGCAGAACAGCACATCTGGTGACGCTAGTATCTCAATTCGTATCTCAATTCAAGTCTTACTCTTGGCTAGCTTTGTGAAGAACTGTTACTATTTTGGGTCTCTCAGAACATAAGTTCAAAGCACACAACCAGAAGAAACTCAACTCTATCACTGAAAAATTATCAATTTGAAAAATACATTAACAATTTTACTTTCTAATCCATTTGATGATGTTATTGCCTCTAAGTATTCCATGATCAATGTAATTTGCAGCCCAGAAAGAACCAGAGGAAAAGTTTTATGGTTCCTTTCATTCAACGAGATATTAGAAAAAAATGAATAATTACTTTTTCACCTGAGAATGATATTCCCAACATGAACAGGAAACAAGATAAGCAAAATAATATAAGGTAAAAGAAGCCACACGATTATTGTAGTTTCCTGAATCAGGATGGCTTCAGTTATTGGTTTTGTAAAGTACTGTGATTTCTCTTAATCAACTATATCCAACTTTAAATTAGAAAAGATACTAATTTCAAATCAAAACGTAGTTTCTGGATTTTCAATATTTTGAAATGTCATACTACTAAACCCTCATTACTAGACATAATCAAGAACTGAGACTAATTAAATGTCATAAATTAGAGTAATACTGTCCAAAAGAATGCAAGTCACATAAGTACTTTTTAATTTTCTGGAAGTCACATTAAAAACATAAAAAGAAACAAATACAATTTAATAAAATATTTTGTTTAAAGAAATATATCCAAAATGTGACATTTCAACAATTACTGTGATGTTTTACTTTTTTTCTTTGTACTATGTTTTGAAATCTAGTGTGTATTTATACTTCCAGCACATCTGAATTTGGAAAAGACACATTCCAAATACTCAATAGTCAGATGGGGCTACTGACTGCTATACTAAACTACACAGGACTAGAGGATTCTAGGCTAGTGAAGAAAGTTACATATCAATACTGAGAAAAAAAGGTTCCATTTAATTATCTGTTGAACAAACCTACTGTGCAGCAACACAGGTAGATGAATACCTTAATTTCATTTTATGTTGATAACCATAGTACTAAAGTATAAAGTATACCCACAGTTTAATGTATGCTCTTTGTCTCCAATACATTATCATTGACAAATATTTGTTTCACCATTACCAATTACCGTAAATCTGTTTATGACTATATAAGATTAAGTTGACTCAAAATTATAACATTTGCAAATATATTTTGCCAAATCTAACTTTAATATTTTACCTTCTGTGTTTCAATGTGCTTTTCTAAAATTTCTTGTTTCCTTTTCCTTACATCCTGCTGAAGTTTCAACGCTTCCTAGAGTCAGGGATCAAAAATATCATTAGAATATTACTAAGGGTAAATTATTATTCAAGAGAAAAGAAATGGTTCTAATTCCAGAAGCCTGTCAACAAAAATTATATGCAAGGTTTTTCTACGTAAAGCTTAAAATATGTATGCAAGTTTCAAAGATTAATCATGGGAACCTTTCTTTCAAAGAAAAAATTTATATTTACTGCTATACTATGGAAAATAAAGGGTCAGCTGCAGCTAACAAACACCCTTTTAGTCTTATTTTGTGATAAGCACTGAAAAAACACATACACAAAGAAAAACTTTCCTATGTGCAAAAATTTTTTATACTATACCAGTTGTACTTACCTGTTTTTTTTTCTGTGCTTCATTATTATCAACTGCAGAGGTGGAAACAAGTAAGGTTTTTTGGGCAGCCTTCAAAGCAGCTGGATTATACACTGTTTTTGTTAGGCCAGTAGATGTAGACAACACCTACCAATACAAATTTGACTTTTAAAAAAAATGTATCACCCACTCATGATACCCTATTTTCTGTAAGACTCCACTTTAAATCACTACTTTAAAACTTCAGTTTCAAAACACACTGAACTAAATGTATGTTTTAATTATAACAAAATCATATTTGGTGATTTGAAAGGCAGAGTATAAATGAATAATAAGCTCTAAAATTAAAAAAAATTAACATCAAATACCAATAGAGAAAAAGACAAACATAAAAATGTCAAAAAGAAAAACACTGTTATTACCATATCACTGAGAAAGTATTAGTTGTTGAATATATTTACCACTATTTGTCGTCACTAAAGCAAAAACCACACTCAAGAGCAAGGCACAAAAGGAAACCGGTTGTTGTCCCTCAATTTAACATGATCATTTGCAATTTCCAGTTCAGAAACATACCCTATTGCATTTATTCTCCATTCCGTTGGTAGCAACGCTCCTTCTGCTTGAACTGACCTTATTCCCCTAAACCCAACTCAGGTTCAGCCTAATACAATCAAGACCTCTACAAGGCCTGAATCATTTCTCTCTTCTACCCAGATCCTTACATGAAATTTTATTCCTTTGGCTATTAGATAAGAATGGTATTAGCTACTTTTTTTTAATGTTAGCTATTTAGTAAAAAAAAAAATGACCTAATGATATACTAATTAATGTGTCTTTTCCCCTGTCTACTTTGCAAGGGCATTAACATAAAGACTATGCCTTTCTCTTCTGTGCTTCTTCCAGTACCTAAGTCTTGCTGCCAACTAATTAAGAGACCATGGGGAAGATCAAGTACCATCCTGGGCCTCAGTTTGCCCATCTATAAAATAAGATGAACATGATGTTGTATCTAAAATCCTTACAAACCCAAAAATTCATTCCAAAAGGGCAGAGATTTTGTTTGTTTTGAAACCAAGTTTTGCTCTTGTTGCCATGGGTTTAAGCGATTCTCCTGCCTCAGCCTCCTGAGTAGCTGGGATTACAGGCACGTGCCACCACGCCCAGCTAATTTTTTGTATTTTTAGTAGAGATAGTGTTTCTCCATGTTGGTCAGGCTGCTCTTGAACTCCCGACATCAGGTGATCTGCCTACCTCAGCCCCCAAAGTGCTGGAATTACAGGCGTGAGCCACCATGCCAGGCCTATTTGTTTTGTAACTTCCTTCAGTGCTACAAACAGTGCCAGGCGCAGGGTAAGTACTCAAAAAACATTTTTGCACTAAACTGAAATAATTAAAGGTTAGAATAGACAACCTTTTCTATAAAAGGGTCAGTTCAAAACAATAAAGTATTGGCTACCTTTTTTATCCTTCAAAAGCAAAACAGTTTGAGTTCCATAAGGTGGTTGGCTACTGGTTCTTAAAAAAAAAAAAGCCTCGGGATCCTGGCAGGGCGATCTACGACATAAAACTAAACATGAAAGCACGTGTGTGAATGCTGCAATTTTTCAGAGAAAAAAACATTGCTTCTAAAGTCTTAAAGGAGTTCATGACCTAAATAAGGTTAAGAGTATAAATGAGAAAAATGGCCCTATTTTTTAGCCACTGAAACATTAACATCTGGTTGTAACAAGTAGCAATCTGAATTTCTAAACTTTCATTAGGAAATTTGATTAGGAAACATCACAAATCGCTATTCTAAGTACTCAAGAAGTTGTTGGCCTCTAAATGAAATAAAAATCTAAAACACTATAATTTTACCAGTTTCATACACTACGGCTGACATTTAATAATATAGGTTGGCCAGCCACAGTGGCTCCTGCCTGTAATCCCACCACTTCAGGAGGCCAAGGTGGGCAGATCACAAGGTCAGGAGTTCGAGACCAGCCTGACCAACATGGTGAAACCGCCATCTCTACTAAAAATAGAAAACTTAGCCAGGCATGGTGGCTCATGTCTGTAATCCCAGCTACTCAGGAGGCTGAGGCAGGAGAACTGCTTGAACCTGAGAGACGGAGGTTGCAGTGAGCTGAGATTGCACCACTGCACTCCAGCCTGGGCAACAGAGTGAGACTCCGTCTCCAAAAAAAAAAAAAAAAAAATTAATTAAAAAAATAAAGTTTCTTAACAATACTTGATGTCTATTAAAATTTGATCAATTATTCTATTTGCGAGATGGGGCGAGGGGGTCCTCACTCTGTCACCCAGGCTGCAGTGCAATGGCACAGATCTTGACTCACTGCAACTTCCACCTCCTGGGCTCAGGTGATCCTCAGCCTCCCAAGTAGCTGGGACCTCAGCTCCCCACCACCACATCCAGCTAATGTTTCGTATTTTTGTAGAGACAGGGTTTCATCATGTTGCTCAGGCTGGTCTCCAACTCCTAAGCTCAGGCAATCTTCCTGCCCTGGATTCTCAAAGTTTTGGGTTTATAGGTGTGAACCACCCCACCCAACAAATTAAACAAAGATTTTGTTTGTGGTCAGACTTGAGTGACCATTCTTTGCAATTCTAGAGAAAAATTTATTCCATGCTAACTTACCACAGCACAAAATGCCAAACCATATGACTATACAAAGATGAGATAGTAACTTTATTGGCAAAGAAACCGCAGAAAACAGTCTAATTTAAGTTTCACAAATTATTTTCTTCATGAGGGTTCCATAACAAGTTGAAAAGTTGTGACCTCCCCCCCAAAAAATCCTATTTAAGTGAGAAACAATGAATATCGTAATCCAATTCTCCTGTTTTAAATTTACATTATCTTCATAATAAAAGCAGTGAGAAGCCCAGAACAAACCCATATAATTTATTTGACCAAGAATTTCTCCAGTTTGAGTGAAAATACTCCTTTTCAAATCATTCTTAACATCTAGCATCAAACTAAGGAGTGCTGGTTCAAAGTGAATGAAAGTATCTGTTAAGACTCCTTTATTCCTAGAAGCAATCCTATTTCTCTTTTTACCCAAGAACAGCCTTCTGTAAAACCAGAACATCTGTGAATGTGACTCACTAAGCCTACAACTCAGTGACTGTAAGACACACTATCACTTATATACCACTACTAAAGAGGAAAAAAAAAAAAAAGGCTTCCAATCATAACCTGTGGCTAACAATTATAAGACACAGCCCAATGTCAGAGGTGTTAAAATGTTAAAATCTGTTTTATAAACAATAACTATATTGTTCACTATTTGAATCTATTTGGTTCTGGAGATTAGACAGTTTGGATAGTAAGAGATACATGTATTTTCAAAAGATGAAAATCTATTAAAAATGAAAACTTGTGGAGGGAAGTAACATGCCCAACAGAAAAGAAGATACTCCAATTCCTAAGGACACAGCGACTTCTCCAAAAAACCACACCTTTATTTTCCAAATGCATTTCTATATGTGCTATAATTTTTATATATTTACTTCTATATATCTTACTACACTTAATTCCAACTGTGTATGAATTATTTTATACTTTCTATATATACAACCGTGTCATCTGCAAGTAAACCGTTTTGTTGCATTTCCAATATTTACTCTATTTTCCTTCCTTAGTACACCTGTGAGTCTCCCCAGTACAATACTGAAAAAAAGGAGGGATGCGAATACACATCCTTGTCTTTCCCAATCTCAAGGAAAAGCAGTCAATATTTCATAACTGAATAGTGTATTAGCTGTAATGGTTTTTTCTCTTTTCTTTTTTTGTAGATTTCCTTCATGAAATTAAGTTTTTTCTCTATTCCTTCTTTGCAGAGTGTTTAATGTAACTAATATGCTTTATCAAAGGCTTTCTCTATTGATGTAATCATCTAGGGTTTTTTCCTCCCTCATTCTACTAATGTGGTCAATTAAACTGATTTTTCTAATGGTAAATCAACCTTGAATTTCTAGAATAAATACTACCTGGCTATGACTATGTATTTTATGTATCACCAGACGTTTGCTAATATTTTGTTTAGAATATTTGTGTCTATGTTCATGACAGATGTTGATCTATAATTTTCCTTTTTGTAGTATCTTGTCAGGCTTGGTGTGCTGAACTCAGAAAGTAAGTTGAAAAGTATTGTGCTGTGTTGTTAAAATGTATAGCACTTATTTTCCCTAAAGAGACAGTGATAGAGGTTACAATCCATTAACACCTCCTTATTTTATTTCCTACATAAAATATTACCAGCCATAACTACTAGTACTTGTAAAGAAGAAGAAAAGCACTTCTTCACAGATAAGAATGGGAGGAAAAAAAGTAATTTTGTAAGATTAAGTTATCAAGTATCATTTTCAAATAACCAATACCCAAGTAGAAATTAAATACAAATACAGTTATGATGTTTAACAGCCACACTCACAATAAGTAGCTCCAACAGGTTTTTAAAGCAGAAATACCTTGGTTTAAAGCAATAAAAAGACAGTATCTGAGGAGCTACGTGTAGGAAGCATTATTAATACAGTTACTATACGGTCAGTTTTCATATTAATAATCACCTGTTCAATAAATATGAATGTTCATTTATGATATTCACTTAAAGTAGCACATAGATGTGCATTCTGTTTGAAACCTAATTTAGAATTCTAACGAGAAGAATACAATTTTAGTTTAAAGTTAAATTTATACATACTTTTAGATATTAATAGTTTTTAAATTCCAAGAATACAAAGTATTTTTAATGTACTGATCTTACATTTTTTGTAATTTAAAAAATTTTATGTTTTTAACTGACAAAAACTGTTTAGAGATGTTCCTTATCTTGTGAGGGGCTACATCTATTATAAGTTGAAATATCAGGGCCGGGCGCGGTGGCTGACGCCTGTAATCCCAGCACTTTGGGAGGCCGAGGCGGGTGGATCACGAGGTCAAGAGATCGAGACCATCCTGGTCAACACGGTGAAACCCCGTCTCTA